AGTTTTCTGTAAGTTTGGTTTTGCATCAATATGTGCATATAAGATGAACGGGGTTAGGCTACGGTGCTTAGTGTAGTAAGTTTACTTCTATAACAATCAAGAACGTAAAAGAGGTAAAGCTTCTGTAATTCTCTTAGTATTAAGTGCTAATAAAAAAATGTATCTAATATAAAAAGATATTTAGCATAAATTATTTTATTTACAAAACACTTTCAAAAACATGTACATGTGTACAATGGGGATAAACAAAACAACACTTTCAAAAGGATGCCGTCCTCAGAGAAAAATCGATATTAATCCAACCGTTATAAATTGTCGTCGTTCTTGTTGTCTTGTTGTTGTTGTTGTTGTCGTCGTCGTTGTTGTTGTTGTTGTTTCATACAAAAACGTTTTCTTTTTCTTGGGTTACAATTTTTTTTTTTTTTTTTTTTTTTTCTTGTGATTTCTTTTTGTGACTTAGACAGCTTTTCTCGTTGTAATGTTAAAACTTAAAAAAAAAATATATATATATGTGTGTAGATACGTCCTGCCTACGATACTATTCCAATATGAAGAGTGTTAAAAATTTTTTTATTGAAAGACTGCACGGCAATGAACCGATTGAGCAAACTGATTACGTTGTAGACGAGAGCAAAAGTAAATTGAACTTCAAAAGTAATGTTACGAGAAGTGATGATAAGTCTCCTAATATATTAATACAACCATCGTGTGATGATAATACGACACCACCAACTTCTACGACTTCTGAAGATTCGAGAATATCACCGTTTGACTTTTCATCATCGAAAACGATGATGAAACCGAAGACTCGACGAAAAATCTCTCTACCTTGGAGCCGTCAGACAAGTATCACAAAAAACTTGGTACTCTCACGTCAACATACCATAGATTCTCCGGGCTCCTTTCACCTAAACCCGCAACAATCTGGCTGCAAATCGAAGGTTAAATAAACGATCAAATGTTCTTTTCATCAAATATTTAATCATATTTTTGATTTTCTCATTGAATATCACATGGTCTTGCATGAGGCAGTAAGAGCAGCGTATTGAGTCAATCATTTTCAACAATTTCAATATTATTTACGCAGTGTAATCAGTGTAATATGTGAAACCAATTGTTGTCATAGGATATTTTAAAATGAGCGGACGTTAGGATTTGTTTTTGTTAAGTTCATTTTTTATTTCCATTTATTTTCGCTCTCTCTCTCTCTCTCTCGCTTTCCCTTTCTCTCTTCATTAAAAAGTCCTCATTCTTATTCATATTTTTCAAAACAAATTATAGAAGTGTATCAACAAGTGTTATGATCGTGTCGTATAATAATGACGACCATTAAATTTAACTTGCAATAAATGCCTCGTTGGTCTTGTTCGCAATACAAGATCGTATTTAGATAAACAATTTTAAAGACTTCTACTAAGTCATTAAATCACTTGGAGCGTGTAACTCTATACACATCTGGAGAAAATAATGTCAATGAAATAACGAACGAGTAGAGTAACTATGTAATGCAAGTTTTCTAAAAAAGCAGAGCCAATAGTCTTAACGACAAATAAATAATAAAACTCAGTCATTCCGATCTCATTTATCTTATAGCGAAGCATTAAGACAGTGAACAAATGGTTATCTGTTATAACGATCGGCTGTAATATACGGGTTCAAAATACTCGCAAACTATGAAGAACGGGAAGATGCCGAAATTTAGATTCCTCCGTATTTGTGTGTTCGATAAGGCAAGCAAGCAATCGACATTTCGACAAACACGATAAAGTAAAAATCACATTTTTTTAATGCACAACACTGCGGACGGACTAGATTTTCCAAATATTTATAACGGTTTAGATATACGTATCAAAGGATATTTGAAGCATATATAAATAACTAAATCGATTGATTTGCCTCATTCTGGCTAGCTCCGGCTAATTAAAATGACCACTACGCTCGTTAAGTTCCTCGTTGGTTCTGTCGAAATTTGCGGAACAGCAATTATGCTATTTTTCTCTCTTATAATAATCGGAAACAACATCTCCAGCTTACATTTACACATTTATCAAGAGATCATAAATAGATATGACGCATTATATAATATTTGTGTTGTATATTATTCATTGTCATAGATATATGTATATAGAATGCAATGCATGATGTAATTATCATAATATATATGATAATCATATATAATTTGTTGAGATTTTGCTCCCATTCAGCGCAATCTGATAGTTTGTATTAAAAAATTTCACCGACAATATAACTAAGCTTTTGCTGTTAGTTGCAAGCGTGTTAGCAGAAGGACGATGACAATGTGTAAAACACATAATTTTCATAAAACCGCTCATGTCGCAAGATACCCAACCGTCAATGTGGTCTAAATTTAGCAAAGTTAATTTACTTATCAAAGATTTTATTATTTTCCAGTTATCTGCGTCCCAAGCAACTGTAGATTGTAGGGCGTACATTCTATTGATTTTATGAGAGAGAGAGCTCCCATGTCGAAAAAATACATCTATGTGATCCGTGACGAGTTTTTATCATAAAATATTGAAAATTCGACCTGTTTGACATGTCAAGCCTTATTTTTTTAACTTTCATATGGATTGCGATCCAAAAAAAGTGGACCTACTAGGTCAAAATGCGGTAACGCTAACTTTTATGTGAAATTGTTTTTATGAACGAGTTTCCATAAAAAAAATATTAGGCCTTATTACCTACCCTATAAAGATTGCGTTTTCGTAGGACAGCTGATATGGCAAAGGATTGAAACACTTACCTGATCCAGTTCAAGCTTTTCATATCAATTTAGAATGCCGAAATACTCTTACTAAGCGATTTTTGTCGCGAATTTCCAAAAATTACATTATTTTTTCATATGACGACTTCTCGAAATAAAGCTTTAATTGAGAAGTGTTCGAAAACGTGATCCGATCCGAACCATTTTCAGCGGTATTCTTGCTTGGCGACCTATATATACGACCTATAGGTTGCCCACAACAGTATGTGGACAGGTCTACGACGCATAGATCGAAGCAGAAAATCATTCCGAATCGATTACTATAGCAAAAAGGTGGATCTATCTAAAGTGCATCTGGATGTTACAACTGTCCGCACAAACTTAGTATATCTACTTGTACTTATATACCGCAAGTGTTGTATGGTATAACAAGATCATAAGGATTAATATATCAACTAAACGGATTGAACGGTTTGCCATGATATTGGAAGCCTGATTTATTTTCGTTAGCCGCTCTCATGAACTTGCAATGAATTTTAGTCTGAGGTGAAAAGAAAAATTTCGACTGCGGCTTCTAGGTATTGTTTGTGGAAAAATCTTATGAAAAACATGGTCACCCTCTTAAGAGGCGAAACTAATGAAAAGAACTTTACCATTTCACTACGCCTGGCGAGTGTAAAGATCAGCCCCCGAAGTTATAACACTCGGATAACAGCGTTCAATGAAGAGATTGTTTGACATATCGTAGGCTAAAGAAAAACATACAAGAATTTTTATTACTTGTTAGCGGGTCGGCTACCGGCCAAAATAATGTATATATCGTTGATGCCAGATGGCAAAGGCAACATGGCAGATAATGGCAAGAAATTCGTTAAGCATTGGTAATAGTTCCTTCATTAGTTCTTTTTGATCAGATTGATTCTCCACTACTGTTGCCAAGTCAGATTGGAATTGGGATTTCTGACGAGAAATTTTTCGATGAATTTATTCGAAAGAGATTGATTTTGTTGACTGAAAAATGAATTACATTTTGAGTCCGTTTAGAAAAATACATTGCTTTTTTTTCCCAGGTTGGAGGATAAACTGAGTTGTCTGTACAATCATGATAAAAATAATGGGGCTTATCGAGAGCTTCACACGGGAGCCTCCCCTAACGAGCTACTTCAGAGTATTGCAATGAACATTAGTGGACTCAGATTCCAGAAGAGAGAAGAGATAAGAAAACGTTTGTATAGGAAACTTAATATTGATACCCAGACGGGTATGGAGATTGTTCGAGCTTTTTAAATTCATATAAATTCGTACAAACGTCGCTGGCATCAAGAAAGTAAACCCACCCCTCCATTCCCTTCTATTTGGAATTTTTCAATTATCGTTATTTTGTTTTTAAGCAAGTCTCGTGTGCCTGTAAATTTGCATTTATTCAAGAACACACACATATGCAGCATTTAGAGTTTTATTAAAGCTATGATTTGTTCAAGATGGCAGTTAGGCCGACTGACGAAAACATTAAATTCACTTTGAAAATCGAATTGGTGGACAATTATTACCATATTACCTATCTTGGAAGACTTGCAATACGTGCTTCTAGAAAAAGGATAAAAGAATTTTTTTTGCACTTATCGCCGTAGCAAACTTATTCGTGCAATTTATCATAACGAGCTTTCAAAATAACGTTTTACATGGATAGTGATTGGAAGAGTGACCCAATCACGTTTCAAGTTTCATCATAAATATCGCAGAAATTGCGGTTTGTGTATTAAATACAAGCTGGACAGATGGACATACAAAAAGTGATTGCGTATCGATCGGTCGAATGAAAAATATTATATAAAATATATTAAGTCCTTCTGAATCCCATACATGTATCCGCACGAACTTATCATAAACGAATTGGTGCAGTGTATAAAAATTGTATTTCATTGCTTTCACCTTGATTGAGATTCAAGTTTACATGTATGTATATGAAAGGGTATCCCAAGAAAATTCGCTGAAATAATAGCTTTTGAAAAACGTTAGTTGTTACTATTATTAAATTGATGTTTATTATATATGATAACTTATTATAAGAAATAGGAGGGCGGTGCTATGTTTGTCGAAAAGCTGACAGCACTGCACTGCATGCGCTAAACGCTATATATCATTGCACGAAGCTATTGCTCTGCTAATAATTCTCAGAAATTCAGATAATGCAAAAGTATAGAAGCGATGGTAAAACTTACTTAATTAACTTACTTAGTACTTAAATCATACGTAAATATCGTCGTATCAATGGCGCGGACCATCGTGGTTGAACTTTTGCTTCAATGCACCACCGCCAGCTACTGTTCTCCGCAATTCACATAGCTATTGTCAATGATAGATTGACTAATGAATTTTTTGTATGAAAATCAGGGAAAGATGTGCCATTGTTAACATTTCAACTAATGTGTGCGTAAAATGTTGTTTCGAATTGGCGCAAAAAAAAAAAAAAAAAAAAAAGCAATTAATGTTAAACAATTTTCAGACACTATTGGTGGAATTGGTGTTAATTCATTCACACTAAGCGAAGAAGAAAATGAAAATGTGACGCGCAAAGCCATTGCCTTTATGCGTAAGAAGAATAATGACGAAGGCGTTTGCACTTGATTTTCATTCCGTTCACCGACATTTTACGAACGCAATCGCTTAAATCCGCCTAATAAAAATGAGGAAGAGGGAAAAGAATAACTCGCAAGTCACAAGAAAAAAAAAATATATATATAGGAAACATGAAAACCTCTTCAACGGACTCGAACTTCCATTAAATGACTATAAATAATAGATCGTACTAGTTCTAGTCGTCTCTAGAAGCTTGAACGGATGCCATTTTGTGAATAGAAATCTTTTTTGGAAAAATTCGTAAAAATCGCATTTTTGTTAAATTTCATTAATTGATTGCCTCAATCTCTGTGGCTGCATTCAAGCTAAGTAACAATGACGCTAAGAAAAAGTGAAAATCTCTCTCATCCATTACTAACACACAAACCATCATGTTGTCCTTGTAAAGTAATTATGTATGAAAAGAACGACAAAGGAATAAATTTTTGTTATCTTTCACCTTGAAAAAGCAAATGAAAGAAGAAAGAGAAATGAAATTGTTCGATAGTAAATTAGGTGAAGCCATAAACTAAAATTCATTAAAGTGTATAATTGTTCGTTTATGCTTATTTAACTTCCATTCATATGCATATAATTTATGAACTATTTATGAATATGATTTTCTTCTCTACAAATAACAGGTTGGCACGTATGAGGCAACTTGGGTAATTTCCGATTATATTGCTTTAGCTGGCTCGAATAAGCTCACTGTTACCAAAGGACAACAAGTTGAAATTGTTGAAGCGCCGACATCTGCTGAACCTGATTTTTGTTTAGTACGCCTCAATCCTCCAAACGACGATGGTGTCGTACAAGAAGGCTTTGTTCCTATTTCTATATTGAAGCCATCGCCGGTCGCCCAGAAGGCTACATTCGCACGCAAAGAGAAATGTGATAGTGGAGAACAATGTAAGTGAAAGAAATAATAAAAAAAAAAAAAAATGAATAAAACACTTGAATAGATTTTGTGCTTGAAAAAACATTTTATTTTTTGCTTGATTAGCGAACAGTCGCGGCAAATCCGATCCTTTGACGTCTTCTACCAAGCGAAGGGGACTTGGAGGGTAAGTGAGTGCACGATATTAAAAATAATATTGATGTGATATATTGATTAGACGGATACATAAAGCATTGAATATTCTTGCTCAACAAACCGCTATCGACGTCTATGTCAATTGGTGTTTAAGCGACACAAGCGAGCAGAACAGTTAATCAGTTTAGCGATTCGGTTGGCTCAGATCGTATTCAAAATTCCAATACGAAAATGTAATCAATTCAGTCCGTCTGTCAGTTATTTATCCTCAGGCATTTAAAGAGATTAGTCGATGTTGTATTAAATCATTTCTCTTGTTGTTTTTTTTTTTTTTTTGCCTTCAAATGAAAAAACAAGTTGAAAGTGGAATCAACAAAAAAGAGAAAGTTCATTAACACGATCACTAATATAGTTTTTTAAAAGTAAGTTATATAACATATAGAAGTTCAGAAAAATTGAACGAGTGAAATTCGATTTCCTACGAGCAAGTAATCGTGCGCCTCTAGAGAAGTTACATTTCTTTTTCTTTTTTTTTTTTTTTTTTCTTTATTGCATTTTATTCAAGATTGTTAATCTTAATCTAAAGACTTGTCGCCAAAAGAGCGCTAAAATTAATATTACAACTTATTTCTCAGGGCTCTCAGGGATGCAGTCCATTGTCATAGAGAAGACATGAAATCAGTTATTAGTGCCTTTTACTACGTAAATAAATAGCAGAGATTGTGACATGCGTTTAGCGTGGGTATCTGCCAGTGATGGCTTAGCCCCACGATGGCCCAAGGCTTATTACCCAAGGCTTATTATTTAAGTGTAACCCACGCCCTCCAGAGAGTTAGACAATCCCTATAAACTAGAGGTCTAAGCAACACAAGAGTCCAGATTGTTTATTGTGTATGACTCAATAAATCCACTCTAATCAGTGTTGAGGCCTATCCTTATCTCCACAAATTGCAATAGGCATGGACATCGGTAATGGCGACTTTTACCTTTAAATATCTGCGCGTTTTCCGATATCATTATCCGGGAATACAGCCAACATTCGCAAGCAGTTAAAATGACCAGCTTCGATTAGGTTGAAATATATAAGTTCAAAATGATTGGCTCGATTTGACGGGTGTCACAAGGATCAGAACCCACTATTAAATACTTTGCTTAATACTGTGTTCTTCATATAATGACTTTTTAAAATAATGCGTTATATGGGAAATGGTCGAAAAAAGTGATCCAATCCGAATCATATTTAATTAGCGTTTGTTTGTCTTTAGGCTAAAACAAAAGATTACAATCTGCAGATTGAATACAAGAATACGAGACGGATAGAGGGACAAGTGCTTTGAATGTTTGCATACGTCTGCAAAAACTTAATATGGCCTTGTGCCATAAGTGGTGGTGTAGGGTATGAAATTATATACACAATTTATATATGACACATACAACCTCTATGCACATAATGGTGGCATGGAACTAAACAAAACCGCGCCCAATTTCGCAACCATATGAAAACAAGTGTTTTCGAAAAATTTGACATACATCCCGGATTTAGATCATTAGTATCTTAATTGGGACTTAGACTATAAGTAACTATCTTCATAACTAAACTACATTGTCTTTTGTTACAAGTTTCTGGTATTTATGTATAAAAGTTTTACTACACTTTTGTATAAGCAAATAAATAAATACATTATATCTATAAGAAAACAGTACGGAACATGACTAAGGCACACAGGTACATGCTCGCATATATATAACACATGCTTGCATATATATATATATATATTATATTTATATATGTGTGTGTGTAAATGTATAAATGTGAGTATAAAAAATTATATGTTATCTTTATAGTTTCTAGTGTGCCACATAACTATTGTCCGATAAGTATCAACGCATTACACACACAAGTAAAATCAACTGAAGTGAATAAAATAAGTTATGTGTGCCATTTGGGTCGCATCTCGGACGCGCATTAACGTCCCTTTCTTTATCAAAGCAAAATAAAAAAATTAATCCTTAGTCCTCTCACAAACAAATCCAACTGTTAGATGAAATGCCTAACCAGAATATTCTATTAATTTAATCGCTTGATTCCGAGCTTAAAGGATAAAAAATGCCCTTCGCATACTTTTTTGCGCTTGGGAAATGAATGAAATGATAGATGAAATCAATAGATTTGCATATCTAAGATAATGAAGATGAAAACAAATTGTATATTGATTCCAGACGCAAGTGGTTGCCGCAAATCGGTCGAAAACCAACGCAACATAAAATAGAGAAGCCTCCAGAGAAAGCTTTAACTAAAAAATTATCGGAGAAGAACTTTAAAGTAAATCTATTGGTAAAATACATATCCGAAACTTAATAATTCGAACAATGTTCTTAATACAGTTACCTGCAAAACAAACCGATGACAATAGCATGATTGCAAGCACGTCGCCAATGTCCTCAACTGCAATCTCCCAACTGAATACATCACAGCAAGAGTTGGAACTAGATGAAGAGGTCGGTCTTGAGTTACCTCCACCAATGAAGCCTATACAGGAGCCACATATAATCGCTAACGGTCCACCAGCTTTCACTAAAGATACAAAAGACAATCCAACAGCATTGGTAAGAATCTTTACAAGCCACATGACCATATACATAAAATATAAATATACATATACATATACATGCAATATAACGCCTATAAGCTTTAAATCGAAGATCTTACCATACGTACCCGTACTAAACCCGAGCACCTGTGATCCGAGTAAACTGCATGCCATAACGACACACGTTTATCACTGACGATAAATTCCAAAGAAACTATGTCGACTAAGTCCACGTCACTCCACGCACCGTTGTTCATATCCATAGTCATAGAACAATTATTCTTGCTTGGCTCTTTAAACTTGAGATGCTTGAAAAAAACGCATTCAAAATTTCAGTATAATATCCAGTCATAGTCCGAAGTGAAACAAATTTAAATCGATTTATCTCCTTTTTTTTTATGGCCCTATCGCTAGCAACATGAATACTCTAAATATTTTTTTAACTAATAAAAAAAAAAAAGAAAAACAAAAAACTCAAAATCGTTTTTTATAAAAACAAAATGCAAACACTTTTAAAACACTGTTAATGTACACTACACTACATGTACTTAAATGTGTACACGCGACATTGAAGCAATGTTTCAAAGCGCAATTTATGCGCGTTTATGCGGAAAAAAAATAAAAAACCGGAAGAAGCAACAAAAGTCTAATATTATATTATATGTGGATTGATTCGAATTTTTCACATACAAGAAAGAAACGCACAAGAGTCTTCAAATCATTGTTTCACTACATAAATAACATTCGGAAATTGTCCCCCAAGAACGTGGAGTGTATTTATGATATAAGCATTTTATTTAGATATAAGCGAATTGTCCGTCCGTCCCCCGGTATCAATAGAAAATATACGTTATGTAGCGGTCACATAAAGCAGCGTCTTGTTCATTACGAATGCATGAGCAAAGTTAATACACCCCCTTAATTAGGAGGAAATCAAAAAACAGGAAGCAAGAACAAGCAATGAAAAAAAAAAAAAGAAAGAAGAGAAGTTACTTTGCTCAGCAGTTGATTCAACAGCCATTAAGTTCATTCAGTCTATCGTTGAATTTGGAAGCGATAAAATGTATATAATATAATGAAGTTTTCAATTAATTGCTGAAATATTCTTATCTATACAGGGAAAATTGTGTATTATTTTTGGTTAACTTCTTTCCACGCACACACATATATGCGAACAATTAAAACAGGAAGAACATAAATAAATGAATAATTAATCGGATAATCGCGCTCAATTATCGGTGAATTATTCGTTTCGTTTTCATTAAATTTGCACAAAATACACGCACACACGTACACACGTATACACGCTCATACGCCCAAGTGTGAATTTCTTCTTAAATTTAACGTGGATTCGTCGTTTGCGTCTCATCGCCATTACAATTGATTACCTAATTATCTCTTCTAAGTGCCTATCGAAACAAGCAGGTATATATATGCATATATATATATATATATATATATATATATATATATATAAATTTTTATCTGAATTTTACGTTTGTATAGATGCGTACTTTTATCCTTGTAAGATTCATTGCAACGATATACAAACACAGATTGACGTATAAAAGTGCAATAAATGAGTGCAAACTGCATTACAATTTATTTACAGAAAATTATAATTGTCCACTAAATATAATAGAAATGCAATCCTTAAGACCTATCTATCGCCTTGCAATAAAAGGTTGAAAGAAAGAAAATCTATTTAAAAAAAAAAAAAATCCGTAAAAGTAATTTGTTTTCGCCCATTCGAGTATCTATCTATTCCTGCGTTCGAAATTAGTTTTAATAGCAAGGAAAGTGATAGCATTCCGATGACTCAGCCAGCTTCGAAATTCATTTTGACTGACCTGTTGCCGATCCTATCGATCTTATTGCTCTTGCTTGGTAAACACATAACAAAGAAGAGAAAAAAGCAAAAAAAAAGAAAACAGAAAAAGAAAATCACTATAATAAAATAGTTCGGGTAGCCTTACCCTTTTTAATAATTTTTGTTTACAATTTTCACATACTTGCAAACATATAGATTTGTCCTATTTGAACACATTCAATACAATGTTTGTGTGTGTGTGTGTGTGTGTGTGTGTGTGTGTGTGTGTGTGTGTGT